TTTTAAATTCAACATTATATGCATATACATAGAATCGCTACATTCATATTAATTGATAATGGTAGATGCACAAATAATTGCCAGTGGAGATTAAAGGTAATCATAGACATGTCCCAAATAAATTTTTGACAATATTTCACATTGCACATTGCCCAATGATTATTAATTATTTATACCACTTGCTACTTAACAATAATCACAATATATTTCTTCACAGATCTTCAAAAATCACTCACTTGAAAAAGAAAATATTGACTACCTGTGTGTCCTTGAAAATAGTTTTAGGACAGACAGTTTGCAGAGGTCAAATCAAATTTTCAATTTGATAGCTATAAAACTATAGATTTATGACTGTAAACTAGAAATGTAAGTGATTATATTACAAAGTTGGATAATCAACATGCTTACAAGTGATATCTACTATTATTATGATGAGGCAAGATATATGGCAGAAAACTATTGATATTTAAAAATCGCAAATAAACTATATAATTAAATATTGATAATCTAAACACACATGTTTGCTGACAACTTATAAATTTTAAAAGAATTATCAATTGAGTTATTGTTTATTTATCATTACATTTTTGTGCGTTCTTGTTTTTCCTATCTGTATTCTCAATATTGTTATCTGAAACATATTTTCATGGTATATTTCTCAATTTTTATTTTAAAAAAAATGAACCATATACTACATGTTTATGCTAGTCCTTTAGCATGTTTTAGATCAGGATATATCCGTTTAATTAACGTTAAAATATAACGTTTATATCCGCCTGTGCGGAATAGATAATATACTTTATTCAAATATTGTGTTATTTTCAGCGATATGATGAAAGGTTTGTTACTGGTTATCATCCTATTCACTTAATTTGTTTATGTAACGCCAAACTAAATCTTAAAACGTTAAAGACAGAACAAAATTATAACAAAACGTGTCCGCGGTCAAACAAGGGACATAATAAAGCAAAAATGACTTTAAGGATTATCTCTCCCTACAGATATATTTAAAATTTGAGAGTATACATTTACAGTCAAGAACTCCAAGTTGAAAATTAATATCTTAGATACTTTTTGAGAAATGCATATTAACAAGAAATCATAAGGGGGAATATCTCTGAAAAATGAATAACAAAAGTTACATATCCTTTAAAAATGCAGTACAATTTGTAAAAAACTGATAAAATATTTTTAAAGTTTGAGATGATCAACCTTTTTTTAACAATTTCTGAGATATTGACCTAAGGAGATGACGGTGAACATGTGTATCAAGTTTGAATGAATATTACTTTGATAGTTACTGAGAAAATGAAATTGAAATAGGGGCATAACTTTGGAAAAAATATAATAAAATAGATGATAAAGCACTGTTTCGAAATTAATATTATCAATCTCAAGTCTACTTTGTACACTGTGTTAAAGGACATTCAGATTCATTCTATATAACATGGCATAAATTATCTCGTAATTAAAGAAAATGTATTTCACTTAAAATCAGTATAGATAAGATTAACTAACAATTTTACAACAGGAGGTAGCTTGTCTGAGCAGGTTTTTCCCAGTAAAATAAAAACTTATAATAAAGATTAAGTTATTTACAATTTATTTCTTTTAAAGTTGTACTTCGAACGCATTTATTTTTATCTTATTTTCACATAAAAGTATTGTTTGTTACAAAGTCCCCATTGAATATTTAGAGATGATATGACAGTAAAGCGTTACTAGTTTTCATCGTATTTTTATATGTTATTTATAAAAAACTTAATAAAAATGTATCTTATGTATAGATACTTAAGTTTCATGCATTAACTTCGATATGAATAAAAACATGTGATATTCATAACGATGCGATTACCAAAATAAATACATTACTGAATGTACTCAATAGGTATATGTCACTGTCATCTATGCTGTACTTAGGTCATACATTTTGTATTCATCGATAGTATGCACATAAGAGTTTTGTTTGGGGTCCTCCTGGGCTCCTTGCCATTGGCGCTTGTTACTGGGTCGGATAGGGGTTGCGTTCATTGAACGCCGCCTTTCCTTGTTGATCTTGTTCATCATATTTTTTAATTATAACGATGATATTGATTGGTACGTTTGAGAGTTGTAATAAAATAATGAAGCAGAGCAACCAACTGTAAAATCATTCCGTCGATGAGCAGCAAAGACATTACCATATTCATTATTTAAAAAAATAATAATGCCATAAAGAAAACTGGTACTGTTTTTATTAAATTCATAGAATTGGTGGGTGAGCGGTGATTGAATATTTGCATATTGAATGAATAAATGAAGCTTCTACATGTATTTGTGATCTGAGTTAATAGTTTGTAAGGTTTCTGTTTAAGACTGTCATTTATGATAAATAGGGAACGAACCTCGTGACATGATGTGGCTACTTTAGTCTACTGATTTCATGTGGTGGCTACAAAAATGGCAGATTTTGTTTCCTTTCATTGCGGAATAACACAAGTACCATTTCTTGATAGCTTATCGAAATACCATTTACACATAGTAACTGAAAAATCTATTGGCCTTTGTTCGTTTAAATTTCATCAATTACCAAATTTGAGGAATGAAAAATCTATAGAGCCCACAAAACCGATGGTTGGAGGTATATATTGCGGAGTCACGCAAATTAACAAAAATCAAAGACATTTCAAAATATGTTTTACAAAAATATTGGTATCTCTTTCTCTATATATACAGAGCCTTCCTTTCTCCAAGAAAAAATCAATACAATTGACTGATTGTCATTTAAAAAACTTACGTTTGTTGTGACATATGTTTACCTACTTAATTCTTCGTTTGTATTTATTAAACATATTTTGATCGCATGTTAAAAATGAATTAGTCTATAATGGTAAGTTTGCAATACAATTAATACAATAAATAACTATATTGATAGTATTTACTATCAGACATAACAAACAAATAAATAAATAAATATAAAGATAGATAAAACGCGAAAAGTACGGATGTTGTTGTTAAGCAGTATTTTATAAAACTATCCGAATGATTCATTCTATTTTTTATCAGTATATGAAAATGTACCTATTTTAGACCTACTTGATATCAATTTGAGACTCCTGCCTATTCTTAAAGTACTGCTTTTATTAAACTAACAAAAATAATATCCACAAGTACTTTTTAGAATGAAAAGCAGGAAATGGTCTCTTCAGGAATAATTGACCCAGTAAGCGTATTTTTATCTTTATGAGTATGTACACTTTCGAGCATTGCAAATGCACAAAACACTTATTATTCTTGAAAGAATCAACGTAGCATTCTGCTTTTAACATAAGTGATGCAAAGGGGAATAAATAAAAAGGCATAGAAAAACAATAATAGATCGTTTAAAATCTGTTTCGAGGGCGTGTCAGTATATAAATAACACATGGGTTTGTGGGTAACAGTAAAAATATCATCCCGAGGAAAATACTGTTACCCGAGGCGTAGCCGAGGGTAACAGTATTTATACGAGGGATGATATTTTTACTGTTACTCATAAACCCATGTGTTATTTATTTTATTACCCCGAACAAAAATACTATGATGATCTGAAATTGTCTGTAACAAAAATAAACCAAAAGTAACAAACTGTAAAACTGTATAACTAAACTGTCCTTACTAAACGGATGTTCACTTTTTGACTATTCAACAAAAAGATATTTTATACGCGAAAAGCACACCAGGGTGCGAACAACTAAATTTTATGAGTGTCATATTAACGTCGAAAATAAGAATGAATCGAGAAAAAAATGGCGGCCATTTTTTTCATTTTATTTAGAAAATAGACCACGTGACCAGATTTTATACTGTTAAAAAATACTGTTACCTATGTAACAGTACAAAATTCTTAGTCACGTGGTACACTTGCAGTAACAGTAAAAATAACTCCTAGAGGCCTATGGCAAATTAGCATTACGAAAAAAGTGAGGGGTAATAATATGTAATGCCATATGAAGTTTGTTTTCTAACTTAGCTCGTGATTCTTGTGTTTGTGTTAACTGTTCTATGTTATAAAGAATTAGCGTTCAAATCATGTTTGAAGTTAACTTATTAAGAATTGTATTCAGATTTAAAATATCTTACCCGCGTATCTTCCTGTAAATTACGGCTGGTAAACGCATAAGGTAAAATATGCTGCAATACGGTTTTACATAAAAGCATGAGTAAAACTAGGAAAAACTGCTAAAAATGTTTATGATGATATTTGTAATATTTATGGCAACAATGAAGTATATTATGTAACTGTTTCGATGTGGATGCATAAATCCAAAAATGGACACGAGTGAATTAGTGGTGTCTGCAAGTATGGTGGAAAAAAAAGTCAATATGTTGTAACAAAACAATCATAATGTCAAGCTTATCATTGACAAAGATGTCAGACTTTCAATTACCATGATAGCTAATCGCAGGGCCCACACATCCGATTCTTATGAATCATTTAAAAGTTAGGCGAATTACTGTCAGATGAATACCCCATTCGCTAACATCTGACCAGAAGAAGCTCAGTTTGCTTCTTTCTTCTATCCACTAGTATTGATAGTTATCTTTTCTACTTATTCAATATTTCAATTATCTTTTCTACTTATTCAATATTTTATTTATCTTTTCTACTTATTCAATATTTTAAAAATCAAATAAAGATCTTATTTAAAGTAATTAATCATATGTTAGGAAAAGGCCTTTATAAGCATCTTATACTTTCGGGTCTGATCCTTTTTCAGCATTATATTTCATGTTTTTATCTTAATGAAGCTATCTTTTATGATCAAGGGTGCGCTCAACATAAAAAGTTTGAAAAAATAGAATAAACAAAGCATTATCGGTTGTCTACGAACTTTCCGGACAAGCCTCGTATTGTGATATTCATTATTGTGTGTAAATTTTGTCTGTTCAAAATATTTTGACAGAAAAAGGAGCGAGTTAAATGCTTTCAAAAATTAACAAAAATGTATTCAAATTATGACAGTCGCCGTTTTCCTAATCACTCAAAGTCATTAAAAGGAACAAATTCGTATTTTAGGTGTCGCAAATATATATCTCGAATGGTTGCCGCGTTTTATGGACGGATTTTAACTTATTCTAACTGCGATAACCTAACTTTTCAGAGAAACGTACTTTTTACTGCTTCCAAATATGTAAAGAAACAAATTTTTCATGGCATTTGACGCAAATTTGCCAAAAAACCATTGTCGCATGGTACGATTAATGTAATCAAACAAGAGCAATTATGCAACGTACGTATGTAAATTACAACAAAGGTCCAATTTTTAGCGGATGATAGTATCTTAACGGAAATGCTGTATTTTCTTTCAAAAGAACTGTGATCGGCGACCCTTTTATCAGCTTGTCCAGTGTCGCATAATTTCTGTCAGGTACGTTAACTCTATCATATGTCTGGTGAAAAAATGAAAGTATTTAAGACAGCTTGCTTGTTTTGTTGTTAATACTCTCTCCATAGATGCATGTTTGTGGTTCAAATAAGTCAAAATGTATATATATGGTGGTGCATGTGTGTAACTGGTTAAAACACGCCGAGTTTGTGTGTTACGATAAAAATAGTCATGTACGTGAACTCTTTACTTTGATTTTACTTTGAAGAACAGCATATGGTAGATTAAATGAGATGTTATAAAGTAGGGTATCTATACTATAATAAAATTAATAACATTTTTTTTCAGCATTTTAAAGCGGTTCTCAGCATTAAATAAAAAAATCATATAAGACCGTCAGGAACGGTAAATGTCAGGAACGTGAATTAATTATCGGTAAACGAGTCTTAATTGTCTTTTTTGAATTGTAAGTGTTACGTCATTGATACATTTACGTCACACATTTATTTCTACACGCTTGCGCACTTGATTAATATTACACTTCCGTTGACCTTCAATGTTGACGTCGCGGGAACATTTAAACTTTAGAAAAATATAGACGAAGTGGAAAAAGTGATCATTGCAAGGTAGGTGATTTATATAAAATATTTGTTTATGATTTCTATTAAATAAAGGATGATTGTTTATAATTTTGAACATGTTTGGTGAACATTTTTGATAAAAATAACAATTCTTTAAATCTGCAAAGTTTCATAACGTACTTGACGGGTTATTTAACGTACCTGACTTTATTTCAGGTATGGGAAAAACGAGGGCCCAGTATCAAAAAGAGTATCGAGAGAGAAAGAAGCTGCAAGATAAGCACTATCTCAAAAGAGAAAGGGAAAGAACCAAGAAGTACAAAGCACCAATAGCAGCTTTGAGCAAAGAAAAGCAGTTTGAGCAAAGAGAAAAAAATAAACTATGGAAACGCATAAGTAGAGAAAGACAAAGAAATAAACTATCAGAGATTCAGACAAGTGAACAAGAAAATGTAGTTACAAATGAAATAGAAAAAAATGTAAGCCCCTTGAAAGTCAAAATGAATTTTAATGTTCAACGTAGACCAAGGAGAAGATCTAAAGCTTTAAGAACAGCAAACAGAATAATACACGACCTAGAACAAAAACTTGAAAAAATATCACGAGAAAATAGAAAATTGAGGAAAAGAAATGAAAGATTTTGTAAGAAACTCACATCACCTAAAGCTAGTACCAGTAAGACGTGTACGGATGAACATTCAGACACTCCTAATTCAAAAGCAAAAAGAGATATTCGTAACCTTGGTCTAACCCCTAAGAAAGTTCCTAGATGTGTTAGGAAGAAATTAGTGATGGCAAATGCAATGTTAGAAGAAATCAAGGCTTCGGGAAAGAAAAATACTAACCAAAAGAGAAAAAGGGTTGTGGCAAATATAGTGAGCGGTAACATTATCAAGAAATATAAATGCCTAAATTTGCTCAGCAGAGAAACGGGAATGGGAAGAAAGACTTTAAAAGGGGTGAACTCGAAGAATATTGAGACACTTGCGAGAAGAAGAATGGCTGTACAAAGAGAAGCTGTAAAGAAATTAGTTATTGGATTCATGGAAAGGGATGATGTAAGTGTAAATATGCCTGGGAAAAATGATTGTAAGAAAATAGAAAAAGGGGAGAAAGGAGAGAAGAAACAGATACGCGTATTAAACGACTATCTTGTGAACTTATATGAAAAGTTTAAATCAGAAAACCCAGATGTTAAAATTTCGCAGACAGTATTCAAACGATTACGACCAAAACACATACTCCTGACAAAGATGATCTCGCGAAATACATGTTTATGTACAAAGCATCAAAACTTTGCAATGAAATTGAAAGCTTTAAGATCTTATGGTGTTGAATTGTCAGCAAACCCAGAAACAGTCAGCAAAAATGTTTCAGAAGAGGAGATGAAAGTAAAGATAGCAGCAAAGTTAGAGTATATTGATGAAGTAAAATACCAAGAATGGAAACGTGTTGAAGTTGATGGTAAAAAGAAGATGAAAATAGTTGATACAAATATGAATAAAAATGATTTCAAGGCGCACATGGAGACACAATATAAAGATTTTCTGGACCACGTTTACAGAGTTAAAACACAATACTCAGCAATCCGTACCTTAAAAGAAAAACTACCTGAAAATGAAATGCTAGTTCATATGGATTTTGCCGAAAATTTTACTTGTAGCAATGCCGATGAAATACAGAGCGCTTATTGGAATGCTACAGGTGTTACATTGCATCCAGTTGTGGTATACTTCAGATTGGGCGAGGACCTTGAACACAAAAATTACATTTATGTATCTGATGTCTCAAGTCACAATTCATCTGCTGTCTATACTATATTGAAAAAGCTAGTGCCTGAACTTAAGTATGTGTGCCCCGATCTCAAAGTAATACACTACTGGACGGACAGCCCATCGTCACAATATAGAAACAAATACATGATAGATATTGTTCAGTACCACCCAGAACTTTTCAATGTAGCTGCCAGATGGAATTATTTTGAATCTGGACACGGGAAAGGCCCGTGTGATGGTCTGGTTGGTGTAGCAAAAAGACAGGCTGCTGAAGCGTGCAAACAAGGCAAGGTCAATATACAAGATGCCGTTGACTTCTACCAATGGGCTTCAAACCATGAAAAGCGTATTAGATATGTATTTTATTCAGCAGCCGAATATGATGCCACTGTGACGGAACTTGAAAATAGAAAACCAAAAACAGTCCCAGGCACAATGAAACTACATGCAGTTTTTCCTATTGGAAATATATTGTATACCGCAAGTGTTTCCTGCTATTGTGAAACTTGCCTTCTTGGATCTCCGTGTGAAAACTGGATAGAAGTGTCAAGAGACAAATGTTCACATGATAAAGTTGAACCATGTGCTAGGAGCAATAAACGAAAATGCCAGTCACCTGAAAAAGTCGATAATGCATGCAAAGTTATAAAGACATCAAATGAAGAAATTGAGACTGCTAACAATGATGTTCTTAGAATCACTCAAGTTGATGATACTCCAGCTGCCGGAAAGTATGCTCTCGTGAATTGGGAAGGCGCTATATACCCATGCCATATACTTACAATTGATGTCATTAAAATGATCGCAGATGTCTCTTTCATGGAGGAAGCGAGTGCAAAAGCTGGTTGTATTTTGTTTAGGTGGCCCAACAAACCGGATATTCAGAATATCAATATTTCACAAATCGTACGAGTAATTGTAAGCCTTCAGCATGTAGCAAAAGTCGGAGACAGTTTCGATTAAACCCAGAGGACTACGAGTATCTTGGTTACGACAGCGACTAAGCTATATGCATCAAATACAAATCTTTAACATGTGCACAGTATAGACACTATTAAGACAGTTAAACATTAAAAAAAACTTAGTTATTTATTCACATTCATAGAAAATCATACTTAAGCAGCGTAGCACATTGTTAGAACTGTTTTCGTCATCAGTTTACAGTTTTGAAACAGGTTTTTTACAAATATACATAGTAACATTATGAAAAATTTTAATGTCAGGTACGTTAACGCTCATCCTTATAAGGTAAACATTGTTATTCTTTGAATAATGTATAAATATTTCTCTTAAATTGTTTGAAAAACGATTTATAAAAAAATCAATACAAGTGTTCATGTACTAAAACAAATGATTGAGTTATATTTATAGACTTACATCTACATTTCGACTACTTAGTATTGAACATTTTATAGTTGGTTTCAAATAATTTTATAAATGGATATCTTAATATGATGTTGAAGATGTAAAAAGCAACAGTCATTAATTTATAGGAAGTGATGTTTAAAGTTTTAGTGTTATTAACGTTGGACTTTGTGTCATATTTTTTACTAGTTGATCTATTTGTTAACTTTGCTTTTTTGGTCAGGTACGTTAAACATTAGACCCTTTTTTATAAACATTCAAAAAGAAGATAATTTATTGTAAATGTAACATTGACGGTATATTATATTTTCATTAAAGATCAAGGTTTATGTTTAAGCTTTGTTAATTGTTATAGAAACACCAAACGTAAAATCATAACATTGTGATTGAAAGGAATATTTGTTTTCTTATAAAAATCAATATAATGAAAAACTGAAGCCTTATAAACGTTTACTTTATTACATTCAAAATATGTTTTGTGTGTTTTGCCTGTTAATTGAATATTTACTTATAATAATGAACCACCTAAAGAATAAATTAGTGTTATATTTCAATGTCTAATGTGCGACTCATTCTACGTTAACGTACCTGACACAGTATTTTTGGTGGTACTTTAAGTTGATGTTTTTCTCAACGTGTTCAATTGTTAAAGTGACCCACTATTTTTTTTTCAGATAGTTGATATGTTGAATTAGTTAGAGATATATAAACGTAATAAAAATAACATAAATAAAATTTTGATTGTTACTGATTTGAAATTGTTCCTTTTATTGACTTTGAGTGTAATATTAAGACGTTTTTACGCCATTAATAAGATTTGGACCATCACTGTTTGTCGACCATGCCTTCCGTCACATCCAAGTATTAAAGTCAGTCGTATTTAGAAAAAAATAAAAAACACATCAATACAGATGAACCTCACGACAAAACCAATGTAATGCGTTTGCGACAAGCATGGATCCAGACCAGCCTGCGCATCCGCGCAGTCTGATCACGATCTATGCTGTTCGCATACAAACCCTTTTACAAGTAGAGAAACTGATAGCGAACAGCATGGATCCTGATCAGACTGTCACCTAGACTGAAAAAAAAATCTTGAAGGCCATCACTACAAGAGTAGAAATAAACTTTAGTCGAGTAGTTTTAGTTATTGAAAGTTATGGTGTTGCACCATTTTTTAATTGGGTAAAACGTCTCATTTATAAATTCGGTTCAACAACTGAAACTTTGCATTTCTATGGGAGGAGATTATTTCAAAAGGTTGAAGGATCTCCTTTTCTTATATTTACATATCACAACAACAGCTGTCAAGTACCGTGTGTTAGCCGTAAAAGTTGCCCGTATATATTCCACTTCAGTGTTATTATATTTTTCTGGTCCTTCGGGATTTCAGTACATTGAGTATTAAAGATTGAGTACCTCTCAAGCCGGTGCTAGAGCTAGTTAGGGTTGTTGCAATTTTTCATTATCACTCATGTAGAACCGATATGTGACGTAATCATAATACATGTGACGTAACCACTAAAATATGACGCGCTGAAAATAAGTACGAAAACAAATAAGACGCAATTTTGCTAAAAAATCATGTGCGGCAGCATTTATTTGTTGATGTCATGTTAGAATCGAAATAATATATCCAAATCGGTGATTTTATCGCTTGATAAAATCACTGTTTGTCGTTCGGATGCGCAACATGTCCATATTACTCGGGCTACGCCCTCGTGATATAATACTTCGCATCCGAACTCCAAACAGTGATTTTATTGAGCGATAAAATCACTGTTTGGGATATATTATTTCTTAATCAACGTACACACTTAGTGTGTTGATGATAACACGTCAAAATGTTAAATTGATTAAGTAGTTTTGTTCAGACATTTACCTTATATCAATCTGAATCAGCCATGAAATGCTTATAAAAACAGATATACTTTCATAGAAAGTTTGACCGATTGATAAAATTCTCTAAGAAATACTTTTTGTAAACTGCAGTTATATGCACACAATCGTAAAATACGTTTGTTCAGAATAAATAACCTTATGGGGATAATATAATTTAAAAATAGACATTTGTAAAGCAAATAAAAATTATTATATAATTTGATAACCTTAATGAAAAAAAAAAGATCACGAACTGTAGTAATTACTTCTATATCAACGAATCTCACCTATACAGTAGTATATATACATGTATTAATAAACTTATAAATAACTTTGCCATAATATTAACATAATAGGACTGGTCAAATTTTGAACAAATTATGACGTATAACGCAGACCTAAATTGCAAAAGATAAAAGAACTGAGGTTTGCTTGCTACCATGATTGCCCTGTGAATTTTTTTCATGGTATGTACAACAATTACTACAAGATACATATTTTTTAAAGGCAAGAGAGAAGAAAATATAGATTAAAACAAGTACAAAACTGTACACACAATACCAGTTTTAAGATATTTACGGCGTTCGCAAGAAATGTGCATATTTGTATATCATGTTATATGCCAGACGGTTGACATTTCAGTCTACAAATGTTACAATTGGCAGTTTTTGGATTTTTGTAACTCAAAAAGGTAATAAAATGACACAATATTCTGAAAGTAAGTCAATAAGTTATCGTTATGCTGCATTTAATTGTATGCATCATGTATTTTACAGTGTTTTTTTTCAAGTGAAATAAAAAATTATGACAGGTTGAAAGGTTGTGACTACTCTTTACTTTGAATTATTTTCGTAACGACCGAAACATTGATTGTAACACGGTTATCAAATATAAGACATAAATATCTCCATAAAGGAAATTGGTTATCTGTTGGTAGGCTGGACATATGGGCAACTCACACTGTAATTATCATAAAAGCAAATTTTATTTAATCCGTGTGAATACTGCTTAAACTTACTTATTGGCATACTATAAAATCTGCAGCCTGATTTAGCATGTTTCAAGAGTGCACTATGAGAGACATAAAATCGTGACTTCAGAAATAACGCACACTACAGACTTTTTCAAGACTTTATCCTTTGAGGTGATCAAGTTTGATATGATAACATCCTCAAAACAGAACTTGCAAGAATAATTGTTCGTGAATTCAACACCCACAATCATGATTGCATTTCATTTCAAATAAATTTAACTAGAGGAAATACGTGAAAGGTCGCATGTTTGTTATTGTAGAAAACAGAACTGTATTATTTAAAACGTATACCGGTTACGTTTTTTAACCTAGAGAGATGAGGGGTAATAAAGATATTCTCAGATTATCATGAGTAATAAAACAATATAGCATTAAACATATATGAGAAAGGTAAAAAATTCTGATTTAATAAACATATATCAGAAAGGTTAGAAGATACTAATGAATAGAGATTCCTTAAGGTGATTGATTAATGATTAATAATAATAAAGTATGAGTACGAGGAATGATTAAGAAATACCCGAAATTAAGCCATAAATTCTATAATATGTATTACAATTTCACATAACAAATGCTATATCTATGCGTAATATATTTTCTTTACCAGGGGAGACAAGAATTATAACAATTAAACACATTATGGTCCCCACATGCATATCTGACCAAACATTGTAATGGGCATACGGCGCAGTCTAAACGTTGTCACACGTTATGAGCGGCGACATACTAAATGTTTTTAAACTATTTGCCGCTATACGCAATACAATTTATAACCCTTGGGTTAAGAATTATGTTCTTATAATATAAGGAGTCCTTTCGTTGGAAAATTTTGGATGCCACTCACCAAGTGTGCTAACATCTCAAACCTATGACTAATGGGACTGTTGTTTGGGAAATATAAAAAGCATACGCATCTTGAAGTTGAAGGCATACAATATGTTCATTTATTTACATAATTTAATAAAAAAAAATATGCGCATAAACAACAAAATGTACGAAAATAAAATGTATTTTTCGTTTACCGAAGTAGCCAATTATTCCTAGATAAGAAGGAAAATGAATCTATCGACTTTGATTAACTAAATTTAAATTATTATAAAAATAAGTTTTCGATACATACAATAAATACATAAAACAAGTCTTAGATATATGCAATTAATCAATAAGAAATGTAAAAGAATCGCATTAAAAACAACTTAATGCCCACGGTAGGGAAATAAGGTATAGGCGACAACAATTCTTTATTTCGCGTAGGCTGCCACAGGTCTCGTGTGTAAGTTATAATAAAGAATTACATGAAAAAGCACGTTCGAAGCGAGGTGTTTAGGCCGCCATATTGTTTGTACGCGTTACCATAAAAGCCACGTGATTCTCTATCGTGAATGCCGCTCCTGAAAACACTTTTGCCTTTTTACGCGCCACAGCAAAGAAGAAGAACGATAACGTCTTGCGCATTTTTCTATATCGCCAACAACAGTATTATCTTTAAGATTATCCAACTTTCTTGGGGAGGTGCTATGAAACGCCCGGATTGTCTTATGTATAGAATGACTGATATACATGGTTAAATGTCATTCTGTTGAGTCCGAGATATAATATGCTGGATCAAAATCCCAATATACTGGGTGGAAATCCAAATGCGCTCAGTTATTGAAGTGCTATGTTGTGTGCTGATTACATTTTATTCAGTCAAGTCAATGTATTGTCGGGTGCATTAGTCGTTCCGTTCAGTTCTTAAAACAAACCGGCATGTGGTAACACAATTATGTTGAGTTAAAAAGATATGTTGTAGGGTGTGACAGTTGTTATGTTCGGTTAAAATAGCTCTTCTCATCATGTTCAACCATGAAAATCAACATTTGAGTGGTACTATCATTTCGTTTGGCTGAGGCAGTGTATTATTGGGTGATACTTTTATTATTTTCAGTTGCAATGACACGCTGTTGGATGCTTTATTCAGACTGTTCAGTCGTGAAATAGAACTGTTGAATAGTACTATCATTATGTTCAGTTCAGATGATATACTGATCTATAATATACTGTCGGTGCAGAGGTCATTATGTTCAGTAGTGAACACAAACTGTTGTATGATACCGTCATTATGTTCAGTTCAGATGACATACTGTTCGGTGCAGAAGTCATTCTGTTCAGTAGTGAACACAAACTGTTGTATGATACCGTCATTATGTTTAGTTCAGATGACATACTGTTCGGTGCAGAGGTCATTATGTTCAGTTCAGATGATATACTGTTCGGTGCAAAGGTCATTATGTTCAGTAGTGAAGACAAACTGTGGTGTGATACCGTCATTATGTTCAGTTCAGATGATATACTGTTCGGTGCAGAAGTCATTCTGTTCAGTAGTGAACACAAACTGTTGTATGATACTATCATTATGTTCAGTTCAGATGATATCCTGTTTGGTGCAAAGGTCATTATGTTCAGTAGTGAAGACAAACTGTGGTGTGATACCGTCATTATTTTCAGTTCAGATGATATACTGTTCGGTGCACAAGTCATTTGACAATGCGCTGAGTGGTCAAACAATTATGTTGGGTTCATTCGGATATCTTCGCGTCAAACAAGATGGCGGGCGGGAGCAACTAATTTCCATAGGTCACGTCGAGGCTAATGACCACTAAATTGCCAAAACAATTTTCTTCCCCGTAAATACCATCGGGAGCTTAAAAACGTTATTTCCATAAATTGGACAGATCGTATGGCATATTTTATACCCAATGGGTATTTTATCAAGTTAATTTATGACTATACTATACTGTTACAGTCATAATGGGCACAGTATATAAAACTTAAAATATGGGTAAGGTAGCTTGTTTAAGTCACACATGACCACCGCAAATAAA